TTCTTCAGGAGCAGGCCTCCATCACCTCCTCCGTCAATGGCCCCCCCTTGAAGTTCGTGGAGGACCGCCGCGGAGCGCTCCACCGCTTCCACCTGGTCCGCCTTCTTGGCCTCCTCCTGGGCGATGGTGGTGGCGTTGAGCCGGGTCTGAATCTTGAAGGCCTTCACCGCAGACGGGTGGAAGGCTCTGCATTCCTGGCCCTCTTCCTTGTCGCCTGGCAATGGGGGCCTCTCCCCCGGTGGGGCCGTCAGAAACTCCTCGTCCAGCTCCATGGGGCAGTTCCTGATCACCGCCCGGACCGAGGAGGGGACGAAGTCCGAGAAGCTGGCCTGGTCCGGGTTCTCGCAGGCCATCGGGTCGGTGGCCAGCTCGCTGACGTCCACCGAGGCACTGAGCTTGAGGTCGCGGGCCCGGTCCGTGTCAGGGCCTTCGGCACCCGCGGACCGGGCCGCCGTCCAGACCGCATTGCCCTGGTCATCCACCGTCAACTGCCAATGCGTGCCCGCCATCTCCAGGGTGGCCGAGTTGGTCGCCGTGTCAATGGGCTCCGTCTTCTTGCCGCACCCCATGCACTTCGTGGCGCCCTTCTTCACCCAGGGCATGGTGCAGCAGGGGCAGATCCAGGATGTGGGCACCTTGCCCAGGGGGCGGTTCTCCAGGCCCCCGTACCCCAAGCCAGCGCGCTTGCCAACCTGCTGTCCCGGGGTGCTGAGCCGGGCCTCATGCTCGTACTTCATCTTGGCGATGTAGAAGGCCTCCACAACGCGCTCCAGGCCCCCCTGCTTGAGTTGGGGGCCCTCAAAGCCTCGCAGGAGCCGCTGGACGTCCTTGGCCTGCAGTCGGCGGAGCCTAGTGGCCGTGGTCGCATCGAAGCAAGGGAAGTCGCCTGTCTTCAACGTTGTAGTCATAGTTCTCGGGGTGATGGTGCCCTACTTCAACTGAGCTGGGTGAACTCGCCGATGACGCCTCCTGAAGCCCGGATTCACACGCCTCACCCTCATCAGGCTCTTCTGCCTGGTCGTCGCTGAACTGGTAGAGGCCCTCCGAGACCTTGAGGGCCTTGGTGAACACGCTCCCCCCCAGCAAGGGGGGCTGCGGGGTTCTCATCCTCCTCCGAGGACGCCTGCTTTTTGACCTTCGCCATCAGCTCCCGGCGCCTCTGCCACTTGGCGTCTGCCCGGGCATCCAGGCGGGCCTCCTCCAAGCGGGCTGCAGCCGAGGGGAACCTGGGCATCGGCAGCTCCTTCTCGTCCTTCGCCAGGAGCTCCTCCATGGGCACGTCCTCCTCCGGCGGGTTCAGGAGCTCCAGGAACGCCCCTGGGGGGCGTGTCAGGGCCTTCGGCACCTGCGCCACCCCAGGGGCTGCATCTTCCATCGGCTCATCCTCTGCCTTGCGCTTGGCCGGGATAAGGGGGGCCTGCTCCAGCTCATCTGCGTGCACCCCAACCTTCCAGCACAGGGATCTGCTCCAGCTCATCTGCGCTCTCGTCAGGTGCCTGAGGGACCTCAGCAGCCAAAACGGTCCATCCTTCTTCCTCCCTCTTCACGAGGCTCGCCAGGTACTTTGCCATGGAGGCCTTTGCCTTAGCCTTGGCCTCTGCTACCGCGGCACCAGCGTAGGCGGGGGCGTACATGGCTTTGAGAGTAGGGGAAAGAAAGATTTCAAATCACAAGACAAAAGATCAAAAGGTCCACTTGAGCCAAAATGGTGGCCCAAGTGGATACTTATTAAGAGTCAAGACAAGCGACCACCTACGGTTAACGCTTTAACCCAATAAGCGTGACAAAGAAAGTGGGAAAGAATGCAACACAAGTTGTCAACAAAAATCGGGACAGCCCAACACAATTAGACGGCATTGACACTGATCCCAAGGAGTTGCCCTAACAATTCTTTTCACGGCGGGAAACTGAAATCTCACAACCTGCTAGATGTTGGGTTTTGGGCATCATTTTGCGCTATATATATATATATATATATATATATATCGTCGCGATATATATATATATATATATATATATATCGTCGCGTGCTTGAAAACTGCCGCAAAGCTACGCACATGAGTGGATTTGCCCCATCTGGGAGGTCCCCCACAAATCAATTCGTCCATGAGATTTTCGAGCATCCCGAAACCAGTTTCAGAAGGACCTTGGCAACAAGTGGCAACAAGTGGCAACACGTGGCAACAAGTGGCAACAATTAATTGGCAACAAGTGGCAACAAGTGGCAAGGACCTAGTTCGGACACGACAAGAAGCTCAATGCAGCTGTTGGTTGTGATGGCCACCTTGGGGGAACGATTGGCTTCCACTCCTTAGGCGAAACGAACTGAGTCAAAACAAGACAGGCTGAATCTCCTTAAAGCTAGAACTGGGTGCAAGAACGCATCACGCGTTGCCCCGCAACCTCTCGTCTTGTTATCGCCATCGATTCCAGCTCTGGTTCCAATTCTTCCTGCGGACTCGGATGTAGTCCGGATCATCTCCAACCCTGGCTTGTCTCTCCAGGTATCTCTCCAAGAAACGATCAAGCGCGCGTGGACAATAAAACACTTTTGCCTTCACCCACACCGTCCAGCCCATGTGCTCTTGATGCCTCTTGAGGCAGTAAAGACGACGATTGTCGTTGCTGAAAAACCGCCCGTGTCTTTCAATCACCTCCAGTCGGAGCTGCTCGCAACTGCAAGGGTCTACCCTGCTATGATCCAGGTCGCTGATCAAGGCCTCCAAGCTTCGCCCATCTTTGAAGCATTGCCCAATGCTTTCTTGTGTGTGTTCGATCAGTCCCACCTTCAAGTCTACAAGGTCCGGGTCTTCCTCAATCCTCACTTGATTACCTTCAGCGGCGGCTTGAGCAGCCAAAATCTCCCAAGCTAACTCTAAAGACTCGGGCTGGCTGGCAATCACTTGCCGCCCTTCAAGCCATATCGCAGCACGCGCTGCAATTGCTTCAGGCTCAGCATCCAGGGCTGTGTCTTCGGTGGGGCGATCCACGGCGTCCTCCCGCTGGATGATCTGCATCTGACCACTCAAGGGATGCACCATGATGCTCCAGGATTTTGACACAATCAGAATTGATGGGGGTTCCCTGTCCGTTGAAAAACTCAAAAGCGCCTTCCGGCGCTTGTCGCCGCACAGATGTGTAGCCAGGTTCCCCGGCACTGTGTAGGCCGGGGCATTGGTCTGACGCATGTCGTGTTTCAACACGACCGAGCAGACGGGGCACTCCACCATGGCCAATTCTTGTGGAAGATCCAAGATCTTCGTGCGCAAGAGCTGCGATGGCCCATAAAAAAAGAGCCACCAAGCGTCCCTCGTGTTAAGGGCTTGGCGGCCGGCCTCATTGGTCCAATCAGGGCCTGCTTCACAAAAAATGCCCAACTTGCGCGCCTCTTCCCGCACAAACTGCGCTTGGTCCATGGCATTGTTGTTCAACTTCAAGTCTGTGACGAAGCTGCGCAACTCAGACAAGACCTCAACTGCACCCCTGGAAGTAATTCTGTTTTCATCCAAGTTCAAAGCATCAAGCGTGGAGCGTGTTGCTCGAAGTAGGTTGAGCAACTCGACCAGAAATTCGTCGTCAAGGTCATTCTTTGAAAGGTCCAGGGCACCAACAAATCTTGTACAGCCAAGGCCCCGTAGCCCTTAATAGAACTTGCACGCACCTTTCGGAACTCTGACGCCTTGCAGCATGTGTACCAGGACTCCACCAGAGACCTTTCAAGCAGACCTGCGCGCGAAATGATTGACATCCTTCAGCCTCCGTCACTTGACAAATCTGCTCCAGGATCAACTTTGGATCCGCTCCAAATTTATCATACCTGCTTGCTTCTATTCTCAAAGTGCCGTCTTCGAACCATGCTTTCACTCCCCCGCTCTTTTCTGGCAGCTGTGAATGTGAATCGTCCTCTGGCCTGTCCTCAACATCCGATCTCCCAAACTCTGCTTTCACCAGCTTGGCAGTCTGCAAGTGCGTAGCTTTGTTGGGTCCGGCGATGAAAACTTCTGGGATGCCCTCGACCCTTCCGAAATGCTCCCAGCAATTCGCCTCCGCAGCGCTCAAGACCGCCTCGGGGACCTCCTCATAGCTCAGGCCGATGTAGCCTCTGACCTCGGCCTTCTTCTTCTTGCGGCATGGAGCGGACAGCTCAGCCACCCATGCACCGGGCACCCAGGTCCATTGCAGTGTCATTGCCTGCTCATTGGGATTCAGCAACAAATACGGCGAGGCAAATCCATTGCGAGGCAACTGAGGCAACTCATATTTATGAGACTTGCCTGGGCTGGAACTCTGCGCAAAAGAAGTCAAGCTCTCATCTCACAGATCACAAGCAGCTGGCTCGTGCTGGGTCAAACATCACTGGCATACCAAAAACTCGCGACTCAAAAAGCGAGTGCAACACTGCCAAATCGCCAAAGGACGCTCAACCTGTTTGTCTTTGGCAACAGATGAACCCGTTGCCACAACTCGAAAATACAACATTCGTCTCCCCGAGGCCTGTATGCGATCACTGGACGACATCGGCATTTAACGAGCTCAAGCAGAACGTGGCTTGCCAGTTCAGCTTGTTGTTGGAACCGCGGTGTTGATTGGTGAGTCCGTTGGCAACCTCTATTCTTTCGTTTTGCTTCAGGTGTGCATCTGCAGTCAACCAGAGCACCCTCCTGGCAAAGCCTGGACACTCTAGATTTCGTGCTCATCCGATGGAGTTGCGATCTAGGCTCAAGACATGTCAAGCAGCTTGCTCCCCCTCGAAGTGCGGAGAAGGGTCACTGGATCTGTCCTAAACTTGGGAACCCAATTTTGGATGGCGCTTAATGGCACACCCAAATGGGTGCGTCTTTTTGAGGGTAGCCGTTCTGGGGGCACCCAAATAGCGTGCCTTTTCTTTGGAGTTGGAACCCCAGCCGCTTTTCTTTTGTGGGGGGGGGGGTCCAAATCCGGGGGGACAAAACAAACGACGACGAGCCAGTCCCAAATCAAGCCAATCCAAGGTCATGGGCCTGCGCTCCTCACCCCGTGCAACGAGCCGCAGCACGTCCTTGCAGGGGGGCTCTACCCATCGCCTCGTTTGTTATGAAACCACGGGCCCAAGGACCAGCTTCCCTCGTTTGTTTTGGAGCCGAATCGGTGGTTTGGAGGTGCTCCGGGGGTGGTGTCCCATCTACCCACAGGAAACAGGCAAGGGCAGTCGAACAACTCTCTCCTTACTCACCTTGATTGAGGAATAGACGCTGGCACTCACTCATGATGAAACATATGGTCTGTCATTGTTTGACAGTAATTACCACTTTTGGGGTGGTTTTAAAGGAAAACCAAACGGACACCAGCCATGTTCACTTCTTCCAACTGGAACCGCAAACTTCGCGTAAGTTTTCGGGGCTGGTCGGGAAATGCAGGCAGGATTTAATTTGCATGGACTCCAACGTAGGAAAACATGGATTGCTTGGATGTAGCTTAAAAACAGAACAACATCATGGAAAACTGGCCCTTGACACATGTCTGGTTTCTATGTCGGCTTTCTGAGATGCAAGATTCCGTTCTGTTCGCCCCTTAGGTTTCAACTGCTTGGAAAAGTGTGCATCAAGGAATTATTGACAGTCGATCACAATCCTGAAGGGTTCTTGCATGCACAATATATTTCCTGAAAGATGGATTGCAGCTGTGCAAGTCTCATGCACGCCGATCCAAGTGACAAATTCACAAATAAGCACATTGCGATTTTGCTCGGAACACTGCCCTGTTCACAAGGATACAGTAGACTCAATCTATCCCAATCTGGAAACCACTCAGAACAAGTCCCCAAAACGAATCTTCATCCTTCCCCGCTTGCAACATTAGGAAGTCATGATTGATGTGGCTGTGGGTCAAAAGCGTAGGGTAACCCCATTTTGGATGCTCACGGAAACATGGTAGCTAAAACATGCGGTCCATATCCTGGTTTAATTTTGGCCCGTTCCCCGCTTCAGCGATTCGTCGATTCGGCCTCGGCACTGCGAACAGGCGCTTCCCGCAAGCCCTGCACATAGAAGCCCCGGCCCTGAGCGAGCGAGCTGCTCTGGAGCTTGTCTCAGTGCTATTGTTTGGGCAAATGGGTGTCTTTCTTTGCGGCATCTGAAAATGTGGTGGGTGTCCTTTTGGTTTCCCTTCATGCCCACAAAAAAAGACTGACCCAAATTGCTCTGGTTCAACCGGAAAGAAGGAATCTCTAGTAGGGAACTGTGATTCTTGAATTTAGAGAGTTCATAGGGTGATTCAAGACTTTTACGTGAGCCCGAGCCGTGTCTCTTAGGAATTCAAAGACTGCGTTTGCCGGTTTACTTACAGCCTACACCTTACCCGGCGACTAAGGTGGCGGCTGCATCCTCCTTGACTGGAAGAGACGACGTGGCCTGGAATTGAAAGGGTTCACTGGATTTCCCCCTTAAGTCGACAATTTACTGGTGGTGTCCACCAAAACTGCGACTGTTGCAGGGTCCAAAAAGAGAAATGGAGGAAACCCTGATTGACTATGGAGACCCAAACTGATTGGCAAGAATGTATGCTTAGAATGGTCAGGAGTTCGAAGATCACACTGTAGTGTCACGCACATAATGAGACCTCATACATGTAAGAGTTGCAACACAGGTAGTCAAAGTTTCTGTTCCCAGACCCGGAATGTACTGAGCTGCTGAATCACGTCGGTAAGCCATAGTGGCAGACACAGGCTCAACTCAAACATCAAACACATAGCTGCCGCAACACAAATCAAGCAGTCGGTGAGTCAAGCACATCCAGGATTTTCTACGCAACTTCAAGAGGTGCGCGTCAATTGTGCTCTCAACACCTGTTGCCCCGACAAGCACCTGTGATCGTCAACATATAGCACCACACCAAGCAAAGGCCTTCCTCGAATTTGGCCGCTCCTGGCTCGGGCCGTGTGCCAGTAGGTCGATGACCTGTCGGCCAGGTGAATCGAACGTCGCTCAAAGCGACGAAAAGAAAACCCTTTGGGGTGAGCTTGACCCGGAGGCCAGCTGAAATCCATCCATTTGCTTAAGCCCCCTGGAAAAATAAAAACAATATGTCCCCTAGTAATAGATTCCCTTTAAAAACCAACAGGGGAAAATCACAAATACTCGGAAGAATCAGACAACAAGGGATCAAAAGCAACAGACTTTAGGCCACCGGGCTGGAGCTGCAAAGCAACAGAGAATGTGGTTCACGACAATGTGCACAAGATCAACAAGCCAAACAGGCCTGGCACGGCAACAAAAGCCAGCACATGATGAGCACCATAACATGTTTCGCAGCTTTAAAGAGAGTGGCCTCATCAACTGCGGTTCCTCGAATCCCGGCATTCACGTCCTAAGTTCATTAATACATATGAACGCCTCGTACACCACGATTCACGGCTCACCAAGGCAAATGCGGGCCCAGCACCATGGATGTATGTTTGTGCATGAATTTATCTACAGACATAAGTTTCATAAGGTCACACAGCTTCATGAATTCAGCCTCTCAGGAAAGCCTCTGTGCACAGCGACGCCTTCTCGTTGAAGATCTCAAAGTAGGAGAGCTTTGCTTGCTTGCCGAGGACTTGCAGACCTTGGCAAAAAATAATAATCAGAATGCTGATCTGCACGCTGAGCTGCGCGCATGGATGTGTTTGTGTGTGTGTGAGCGTGTGCGTCTGTGTATGCGTGCGTGTGACAGAATTATCCTTGGGCGCACACATTCAGGCTTCATGTTAACAGTGGGAGGGCAATTGTGCACACAACTACAGTGAATGTCCGGATTTTCACCGACTAAATACTTTCAGGCAACCCGCTGGACACTTTTAGCTGCCTGCAACCCCTGAGACGCCACTCGGTCGCAAAGCCAATGTCCACAAACAGGACAGCCGTTCAATCCCCCTCCAACATCCAATGTCAGGATACACACTGCTGAACACAAGTGTGCGTGTGAATCTTCAAAACATGACCGGCATGAAATCAGGCGAGCTTAACTAAAGATCAGAACCCTCATCCAGCTTAAATTTTGTGATCGCTGTACCCCATAGGGTCACAATAACTGTCCTGTTGCCCGCGTCGGATTACCTGCGGGTACAAATGCAAACTCTACTGCTTGCGACTCATATTGTAGACGCATGGCTGAAAGCCGGGTCATACGACACCTCCATGGGAAGATGCTGCCTGATTATTAAACAGTACTGACAGTGCTTCCGAGTTTTCTTCCTGTGTGATTCTAACTGGCTGCATGCTGCTGACGCCATCGCCGAGGAGCATGAGATCTTCTCCTTCTCCCTCCTTTATGAGCCACTCACGGTTACACTGAGGAATTCTCCTCTCCAACCGTGTAGCAGCTTGTCTATACGGGTGTGTCATTTTTTGAAGGTACCCTCTTGACTGTTCTGAAGGTCAACCAAGGCTGCAAACCGCCCATTTTTGGAGGTTCCCTACTTTGAGCCACTGTTTTGTTGGTGGCTTTGAAGGACACCACCATTTTTTTTGAGGGGGGGCTCCCTCCAAGAAGACGAAACCAGAGACAGATGAGCTGCCGGCCGTCGTCTCGGAAGCCGAAGATCTCCTGAACGACTCGTTGCACAAATCACGGGAACCCAAAAGCGGGAAGGGGGGGGAATGCCCAAAAGGAGGTTCCTCTATGGTGGTGTTTCTTGGTGTTGTGGTGTTTGTTGGTGTTATGCTGGTGTTTGTTGGAGTTGTTTTAAACGAACACCACATCGGTAGGAGTAGTGCTGACAAGCTTGAAGTTGGAGCTCGATGGGCATGTGCTTAAGCACTCTGGGCACGAGCTACCCAGGCTAATCTACACGCCATGCGAGGGATGCAAAAGCAGCCACCCAGATTGAGGTTGGACCCATGCACATGACTAGGAAGGCTGAAGGTAAGGCTCAGCTTGTGCCCAGGTGGTTCACAATGCTGCCCTTTTCAAGCAATGAGCCCGCAAATTGCCGGGATTCTTGACCAAAATTTGGGCGCTGGCTTTCGGCCGGATTTCAAAGCCTGCGGGTCACCAGCAGCAGTAGTTGCTCGGGTCAAGTGAGCGCAATGTTCCCAGACCAGATCCCCTATAAAAAGTCTAACATTTGGTGACAGTGGTTTAGTGGAAACTACCACTAAACCCTAAAAAGCTGAGAAAAGATAAGGAACCGGACGGCTGGAAACCACCCAAGTCAAAGGCCTGCTTTGTGGCGTATGCCAGTCCAGTGTGTCTGTGTGGTTTGCATGGCCGTGTTATCCCAGGCCATGGACTTCACCAGGGAGACAACTCCGAGCACCCGCTTCTCCCTCCTCCACAGCCAAGGGCAAAATGCCGGGCTCGTAGGGGGTGCCAAGCACCTTGGACACCCATCTTTCAATCCTGCGCGGCTGCTCAGCTCAGGGCTTCTCATCTCACAACTATGGAAAGTCCACAAAGCTTTGTGGGTGGATATCATGTGGCTTCCTGTTAAAGCCTCGCAAGGCTACCCTCAAAAGAAAAGAGGAAAGCACTGCCATCTTCTTAGTCAACCTTGGATTAAACTCCAAACCTAGGATTTAGCTATTTTCTTGCAATCATTGTAAAGGGCAAACACCTGTCCGCCCACCAAAAATGGGTAAACATAGAAACCTGAACGGGATGAGCTCAACCCTGCATATGCGTTAAAATGTTCATGTACATTCCCTGTTTTCCCTGTTTCACTTAAACCCTGGGATCCGTGCTGAGTGGGTCTTGCCGGAGCTGGTCTGGCCGTAGGCGAGGATGGAGGCGTTCGAGCCAGCCACCGCGGCCTGAACCTGCCAGGTGACCCTCAGCTTCCCCCGAGCCCGCTGGTTTGCAAGTGTTGCGCGGGGGGAAAGCCCCGCTTTTACCCTCCCACCAATCAAATTAGCACATGGAACCTGAAGTTCGGGACCTGGTCCCTTTAAAAAGAACATGGTCTTCCAGCACCCCCCCCTCTCAGGTTCCATCTTCATTCCTGGGAGGGTGCCCCCTACAAACAGGGTCCCGCCTTACCCCATGTTGTCTTCCGTCGGGGTCAAACCGAATCCTCGAGTTGCTGGTGTTTCCCAAGGCCCAAAAAAACAGGTTAATTGATGGGCACGGGTCTGAAGTCAGCAATGGACTTGTCACGGGATGACCACTGCTGCACATTCTCCGAACGCATGGTATATCCCTTTTCAGCTAGTTCAGGGACCAACATGTACATATCAACAGAAAGCTGGTCAGTAACTACAGATCCCTGGTGTTATGAAGCAATGGCAGAGGGCATATTCAAGCAAACCCCGATAGAATGAGAGGAAGGGGAAGACCCCTACACTTCATTGATGGTGTGTTTAACCTTTTGGCAAACCTCAGGCCCCGACCAGCTTCTTTGCAGCCTTGTCAAAGAGCTCTTTGTTTGTCGCCTTGCCATCGAAACCTGGGGCAAAGGTGAGTGACACTTCGGCGTTGCAGAGCTCAGCAACCAGCTTGATCTCAGGCCATGTCGCTTCAAACCCAACTTGCCAAATGCCGCTGGAGGAGTTCCAAGCCACAGCAAAACCTGTAGTTGCTGTCGGTCATGCTTCTCTTTTTGCCCATAGCCGAGCTTCATTCCCTTTCCATTTGTCTTGCACGCGCCATTGATTGGAACAGATCCTGAAAAGAGATGAAAAGAATAGAGGCGGCCCGCTCTTGACAAACATTGCTCACATGTGGCTGAGATTGTACAATTGACGCTGGCCGGACAGCTTGTGCATCACGTTGGTCCTGGCAAGCTGTACTGCATCCACTGTCTGCCTCCACGTGCTAGTTACCGGACTGTCACTGCTGCACGAGCCAGCACTTCCATTGCTTTGACAGCAATGGAAACAACAGAGAGTCAGATGATCTCCTTCAGCGCAAAACAAGCCGTCACTCAACCCAGCAGCAGCAGCGGCAACTTTGTCAAGCACAACCGCAACGTCGACAACTACAACAAGCACCCACATGCAAACCCACAGCCAGCCACAGCCACGGAGGCAACAGCAGCAGCAACCAGTGCAACAGCATCAACGACAGCAACATCAGCCGCAGCAACGGCAACTGCAAAAGCGAACGCGACAAACCGCTTCCATCTAATAATAAATACGATATGTATTCATAGGGTGTAGTTGTTCATAGCAAGGGATTAGCAGAGCAGCTAAGTGCTGGGCACTGGTCGAACGGGAAGACTCCACGTTCCAACTTCTCACCCTGAGGTTGATGGCAGACCTCAGAACGGTGCATCCGCGCAAATGGAGCAACCCGCAGTCCTCAGTACGCAGAGCTCCGTATGTTTGGTCGGTGAGTTGACCAGTAGTAAGAAAACATGCTGCAGCCAATGTTTTGGCCCAGCCTGTTTTCCATGGAGAGATTGCCTTTCATGCAGTATGGGCCAATATTACAAGACATGAATCATCAGGAATCAATCAAGCGCGCAAGTGTAAACATCTGCATGCCGGCAGCTTGAATCCATCGAAATCAGGTTCTGTTTGAAGTATGGAGTGGTCGCTTTGAGCCTTTGAGCACATAGCCTCAAACTTGCTTAACTACACAATAAGAGCTGCCTAACAAATTCCTTCCTTGGAATCGGTATTGCACCCACTCCTCCCACTGCTGACCTGACAGAAAACATGGAAGCGCCCAGGAAGGCTTTTGAAAGGATGGTTGTCGCATGGCGTTCGGAAAACAAAATCAAAGACAGCAGCCACTTTCCTCACGTGCCTCGTTCTCAGCTGACTTGATGTCGGGAAAAATGATAATAGCTAAGATGTTATATCGTCACTGTCCTCAGAACGCAAGCACATTGTTTGTAGAGACCAGCTGGAGTCAAAACTTGGTGGTGCTCAGTAGGGAATGACCGAGTCCGGGTGTTGGGAATGAACCTGGGGATTCCCTTAAAGGAAACCATTGGGGATTATTATTATTTTTTCGGGGTCCTTCCAACTCATTCCCAAGCGCCTTAAGACCTTCGACTCGTGGAGAGTCCGTTCCCCAAAAAAAACACGACGGCTGTGTCAAAGGCGACGTTACCAACTCCTGGGGCTCCGTTCCCAGTGCTGCCCATCCTCAAATGGGAAATGCAACGACCGCAGGGTATGTAAAAAAGAAAGAAAGGCGCATTGTGGTTGAAGCTGTGGGGGGTGTCTTTTAGCAACGGTTTCCTCTTGGCTTCCCTTTAAAACCATGAAAAAAGGGAGAACCTCAACGAAAAAGACAAACCCGTTTCTGGTTGCAGCTGGTCTGCTCCCAAGTCAAGTCAGCCCATGAGACGCACACCGCTGTGCGCTTTTTACGAGTGCTTCCACTACCCCAAAAAAGTCTTCCACTCACGAACCCCAATGCCATACAAGGGCCGGGTGGCTTGGAGGGAGTGCAAAAACCCTCTTAGATACTTGTCTGTTTGTTCAGCGAAACAACTAAATGTCAAAAGGGCCATGCATAGCAGAATTGTGTTACCGTGCATGGGGTGACTCGTCACATTCTGAATGGTTCAACTTACATTTGAGCCTGTGACCAGCTAATCCTCGTACGGAGACGCCGGCTTCATGGTCAACAACGACTTTTGCCTCGACTTCTGTCCAACAGTTCCCTGCGCGTCCGTAGAGTCCACATACATCCATGAAGGCCTTTGATACTGCGCACCTGCATGCGTGCTGCTCAATCAAGTCTGCTTCAGCGTCAAGCTTTCCGGAGATCAAGAACTCGCGAGCCATGGGCCATAGCCTTACACTCTTCATGCGCTGCCCTGTTGGTCCCAAGTCTGCTTCCATTTGCTGAAGTTCACTGGAAAAAATACATGTAACAGCAATATGTCCAGTAGTGATAGATTCCCGATAGAACCAAAAATCACAAACACAAAAAACATATCCGTTTCATCAAATGGAAGTCATGGTTTCGACAACCTGCCATGGACCATTCTGGGGGCAAACATTCTCTGAAGACCCGTGAGTATGGCCATGGACTCATGAACCTTAAAAAAACCTGACAGAGGTTCCCACACAAATGGAAGTTTTGTCTTAAAGGATTGGTCTATAGAGAAGTCTCATCAGCGCCAAGTTCTTAGAGCTTAGCGACTTCTTTTGGCCCGATTCGGATTGGAGCCCGTTGCGAATTTGAGTGACAACCATTGAAGACCAACGGGAACCCCCCATTGGCCCAAACAAGTCCTGGAACTTTATATGTGCAACCAAAATTGTCCAAATCCAAAAGTTTAGAGTCCAGGAACTCAGGAAGTGACTCCCACCTGCTATTCCTGAGCTATTGGCCCGCTGCTCCAGACGCCAGGCGCCTATCGGACAATCTGTGGTGAGCTGTCCCTCTTGGGTGCATCTGTTGGTGGCCCAGTTGTGCTGAATCGTACTGAATTGTGCCTATATACGGTTTACTTGCCTGAATTATCAAGAGAGCTTAGTTGCAAATTTTAGACCTGTTTTGTTGGCTTGCTCCTCTTTTCCCCGAAATGCGATTGGATATTGGCACGGGTCCGGCAATGAGTCGGGCCTTGGACACTATTTTGTAGGCTGTTCGGGAAACTATGCCTTCCAACTAGGTTCATCCGACTTGACAAGGCCGCCTGTATTCTGTATTGCACAACGTCCTAGAGAATATGGGTGCGTGTGTGTGTGTGTGTTTTTTGGGGGGTCCCCATTTGGCCGGAAAACCAAAACGAAACCGTTGCCTCAGAACATGGAGCTGACCCCCGGGTGGCCCTGAACGTACCCATTTACGACTGTATAGAGGGGGGGGTGCAATGTGCAAGTAGCCAGAGTTCCGTGAGGCGTGAACCCTGTTCCTGCAGTGAATAGGAATCATGTGTCACAATGTTGCAACTGAGAAATATGTTGTGCATTACGTGTGTATATATATATATATATATATATGTATATATTCAGTTGTTTCCTTTGCAACCTGCAACAAAGATAAAGGGTGAGGCAAGGGAAGGGCGAAGAAGAGAAGGCTCAGAAGGGCAAGGGTAAGAAGGGGAGGGCAAGCAGGGAAGGCTTTTTGAGGGGCTGTTGACACAAGTCAGCAATAAGGTACCGCAGGTGAAGACGGGAATCTCAAAACAGACAAAGCAGGCACCGGTGAAACCTTAACATGATGATTCATCCATCTAGAGTGACAAGTAAGCAAGACACCTTCATCACATGGATCTTTGCTGAAGCCCAGGTGCCCCTCAGCTAGTCCTGATTGACCCAGTATGGGTTCTAAGGCAAAGTCCATGACAAATATCCAAAGAGGACGGCACGTTCCTGGCCGCCCTGCAAGCCTTTGACCTAGAGTTCTAGCGAGCAAGATGAGCCAAAAAAGACTTCCATAGCCATGAGCCGGGCAAACAAAAGCACCCAGCCTGATTCGGCAGCTGAGCCGACCAAGGGTCGAATGCGCACCTGGGCATTTGAACCATGCCGGGAATGGCAAAAGTGCAGTGGTTGCTAGTGGCAAAGACCCCTTATCCGGACACGGAAGAACATGAAAACGAATGGCTGTAGCGAGCAGACTGAGAGGCCCAGCTTTTGCCACAGTAAAGCTTTAGCACATGCGAGGCTGTTAAAAACAAGCTCGCAATGCCCAAATCAAACTACACTCAGCGGCCATCATGGTGAGCTCATGATGGTTTCAGATGAGCTCGCCATGAAATAGTTGCAAATGCATGGAATACCTCAAACAAACACTTTAACAATGCTTTCACAGGGGACGCTTCAAGTAAAACCCGTGGCAGGATGTGGCAGACTTGTGTGGGCTTTCCGCGGCCGGTTGTTTGGCGTGCGCGCTAGCTCGTTAGGAGAGCCCCTCAATTCTTCTGCTAGCCAACATAAATCTAGGGGTTGATTCCCCATTCTTTTCAGGCATCGTTCTTTTCAACAACCAGCCGTTTCCCCTGGGTTTTTGATGGTTTCCTGAAAAGAAGGATCCCTGGAAAGAATGGAATTGGAAGGGACTAGATGACATTTTGCCAACCCCCGCATTGCAGCAGCTCCAAACACCAGAAGAACTTTTTTTTGGGCCCGCAGCCGCCACCGAGAGCTTGGGCATGCAGTAGCCAAAGCTCATGTTGGGCAGCGCATGTTTGTCTTTTACACGCGTAGAGCATATCCTGCTGGATGATGCTTACATCACGATTGTGCCCCATTACGTATACAAACCGTCCGTTTTTGTGATCCTTCTGCCGCCATTTCGCACATCCACGGCGAATGCACAGCAAACTGCAAAAGTATCATCGTTGAACGCGGATTCTAAGCTGGAGGCATGGGTAGTTGGCGGTTCTCCCGTTGAAACGTTTCGGTGTGGATTGCCTCAGGAAACCTCGCCCGCCCGCCATGTCAAACACTTTGTCTTCGGCTTGCTTTGCGAATCTGTAGACTGACGCTGGGAGTGCGCTGCTGGAAACAGCCAGCGACAAGAAATGCCTTTGAACAAGTCTTCTATGTGGGTGAGCTCATGCAACCCAGGCGTGAGGGCTCAAATTGCATTGTATCCAAAAAGACAAGAGCCAATACATGCAACTCAAAAGAACCTGCAGAATCACGCACTGTCTCCAGAGCAACTCCTGGAGTTTTGCGCGCAATGTTCGTTGAGTGAGGCTAAAAAAGGTGCCCGCTTTTGGGGGCTGTACTCCCAAAAAGTGCTCTTCTCCTGAGCAGGTGCTATGAGCCATGTTCATGCTGTAGTCGCGCGGATTGTGTGTGTGTGTGTATGCGTGTGTGTGTGTGTCACACTTGAAAACCTGTCTGACCCACTTATACCCTGTAATATTTCAGGTCTTTACCACCCTGAACGAAATTGAAAAGGTTCAGGTAGGATCCAACATCCAAGTCCAGCAAGATGCATTTCTATCCGAGTTGCGACCACCTGAAGAGGCTCCCGAATGGACGGGCGCTCACGCCTGAGAGCAAAAACAAACCGGGGGGCCAATTTGGCTTGAAGATTCTATTCGCGTAGGTCCTTGAAACAAGTTGGGGCGCGAATCCTCACCGATCCAAGCCATCTGCAAGCCATTTTTTCTCGAAAGCCTGTGGCCTTGGCCCATTTTCACAGGCACCAACTCCTCAGATTCCCACCCTTGGAGTTCACCCAAAGCAATGCTTGGCTGGGATCGAACAGTGCACGTAGGCCAGTCACAACGAACTGGCTCAGACTGAACCCAAAAGCTGGTCTTTCTGGGGTGTGTAGACGGCCATATATGCTCTTGTGGAAAACAAATGATGGCAATCATACGCCATCATCACAATTGCGGCCACCACCACCGCAACTGCAACATCTGTTTGGCACAAAGCTTGGCATGATGTATTGGCCCCTGGTGCCGAAGTCCGAACTATTGCCAAGCACTCATGGCACTTATGGACTCCAGATCAGAAAAGCAGGGGCGGCCATCTGTCCAAATGTGGCTGAAACGAAGGCTTGGATGCTTAACAAAAGCCCATGACTTGCCTCACAACCTGAAAAATGTGGTATGTAAGCCTCCAGATCTGCAAACCCCCTATTTCTGAAAATGAGCTTGACAATAATTCGGACACACAAAACAAACACCAGACAAGCAACCCGAACTTCCCCAAAAAACCACGCCTGGCCGGGCTTGGGCTGCGCATGGGTGCCTAAGTCAACCATATAAAGCTGTATAGAAATATCAGAAAGGGGGTGATAAACTGTTCGATCCTTTTCGGGGTTGTCGTGTTTTGTGATGTCATCCTTGTGCATTGTATGTTTTGTCATGTCATGCTATAATATTGTCATCCTTTTCGGGGTCATCGTTTTTTCGTTTTGCAGGGCTGTTTGCATATTTGTAGAAAATATGCCGGCCCAATACTACAGTAGTATCCGCCCCCTTTATGGATATTACGCCAAGGGGATTTCCTTGCTACAGAAAATTGGCCAAAATCCCAAATTTCCCACATCTCTGATACCGCCCGGTAGAAAACCCGCAGGCTTGCTCAAATACTTCAACAAACAGCGACTCCTGACGACTCTCCGTGCACACACCTCAGCGGACCTTGCTCATATCATCCCTTTTGTAAACCATCAATTTTCGACATGAGCTTACCTTACCAACATGGAACCCTGGTAAGTAGAAACATGAACCAAAACCTGCGTGACCCCCGTTTAATTTTGAGCCACACCCACCTGACTTTAAATCAAACTGTGGAGTCGAGCAAATTGCACGAGATTGCTTGGCTGTTGCTCACTGCGCCAGGCAAAACCTTTAGAGCGCGGCATATCATCCACTCGCCTCAGCTAGGACAGCACTCAACCGGCGCTACTGCTGGTTGGATCATGGATGTCCGTCCCCAGTACAGTAAGCTGTCATGAAGCAACCAGCAAACATTCCAGGTTGATGCATCCTGTTGGACTAGCTTAACTAATGAATCCCGGAACAGCAGTTGTTGCTGTGGCAGTCGTGGCAGTGGCAGCCACTGCCGCGGGACATGCTCGGTCCTTTCGCACCAGTTACATCTCACTGACGGAAATTGGCTCACCCAAAGGACCCAGGTCCCAAATCACGTTTTGGGACCAGACCAAATAGGAAGTCAGATCAGGTCGATTCGCTTTGGGCAGAGACGATACACGGAACGGGCAAACAAGGCACAAGGCAAAGAACCACGCAAGATCCCCTCCGCGAGTCTCCCGGAAAAAAAAGAGGAAAAAAAACACGATGAACCGCTGTTTCTTTGAGATGTACCGATGAACCAATGTCTGGGTTATCGTTGTCACCATAAATGAAATCTTCACATTGAAAGAAGCATAGCACACCACAAAGGCATCTGCCATCCTGTCGCATCGAGGCCCCCTGCAGGCCGTTGCAAAAGGCTGCTGTAGGGTGACATCAACCCTCACAATGGATGGTGCCAGGATCATGAATTTGGGCTCCAAGGCTAATTGCTCCAGTAGAAGCTCCGGGTTGTTCTCCATCGGGACAAGCCAGTTCAAGTATATTGGGTTCCTGAACTTAGCCTAGATATATTTAATATCTAAAAAAAACCTATCAGCTGGGGCTCTGCATTCTTGTCTCTGCAAAACTAGCCAGCCCCTGTGGTTCCTGAGCCAAAGCGAGCAAGCGCAACCACTGTCCAGCACAACCCACGACATGATGAACATGAAGCAATGCACAAATGCACGCAAACGAATACACACAGAGAGGCAGATGCTAACATGCTAGTTGCGGTTGCCAACGCAGAAAAAGATACGGAAAACCGGCGGGCAAAGAGACAAACAGACAGATACAGGCTGATACAATCAGACTCAGACAGATTCAAGCAGACAAAAACACACACACACACAAAACAAACACACACACACACACCCACACACCCACACACACCCGCACACACCCACACACACCCACCCACAAACACACACACACACAGACACACGCAGACACACATGCACACACACACACACCCACACACACACCCACCCACGCACGCACGCACGCACACGGACTTAAGCAAGACGGAATCTTTATAAAAGAAGACAAACAAATACAGAAAGGGAGATATGGAAAGACAAACAAACGGGCACACCACAAGGCTAAACAGAACAGCCAAAACAGCTTCACGCTAGAAAAACTCGAGCTGCGTGCTTCCCGGCCAAGGGGCTGGCGTGGACCCTGTTTCTGCAATGCCAGCGAGGCGCGGACTCCGACAGGGCCGCAACCCTATCGTCAAGCATCCCTCGGTGATTGGCGTGCTGCGTGCGCCGAGCGCTTGCCAGCGGCAAGAGACAAAGGATTCGCAAACACATGACGGAGCTGAGGCAAAGCCAAACTGCTTGAGCCATCTAAGGTGTGTGCAATTCAAACCTCTGAGACGCCTGGCAAAACACAGAGAGCAATGCCCCTTCCAGCAACACAAACGTACGTGCACATGATCAATTGTCTTTGCCGTTCTTCTTTGTCTCCAGCGCTGCAATCCAGCACAAACAAGGCTTATAAACCTGACCATCGGTCAATACATAAGTGAATTAGAAGATTCATCGAGTGCAAATTCACACCGCGCCTCAGCTTGGAGTTTCCTCCTCAAAATCCTCATTGTCAACCAAACTCTCTTGGAAATCTCGGGGGTCCGCAATCAGTGCCGCGATCATGCTCTCGGTCGCTTTGTGCACCAGTTCCTGCACGGAGAGGGGCTAAGCTTCTAATAAGTTCCCACAAATCGCGCCTTGCCTACACGCGCACGGAAGCCTGCAATTATATATATAGACATGTATACATCGTCTCTTTCAGGCAGGCGTGGGGCGACCCAAAAGTGGCAAAGGCGTCAAAGCAAAGCTCAAGATCAGGGAAGCACGCGAACAACAAACAACAACCAACAACCAACAACAAACAACAAGAAATAAACAACAAACAACAAACAACAACCAACAACAAACAACAAGAAATAAACAACAAACAACAAACAACAAACACCAACCAACAACCAACAACCAACCACCAGCAAACAACACACAACAAACAACAAACAACAGACAACCAACAACAAACAACAAACAACCAACAACAAACAACAAACAACAAACAGCAAACAGCAAACAACAACCAACAAACAACGGACAACAAACAACAACAAGCAATCAACACGCGACAAACAACAAACAACAACCAACACACAGCACACAACACACAACAAACAACAAACAGCAAACATCAAACAACAGACAACAAACAACAAACAACACACAACCACCAACGAACAACAGACAACAAGACAACAAACCACCGCCAACCAGCAAACAGCAACCAACAACCACCAACCAACAAACAACAACAAACAACCAACAACACACGACAATCAACAAATAACAAACAACAAGCAACAAGCAACGGAGAACAGACAACACACAACACACAACAAACAACAAAGAACAAACAACAAGCAACGAACAACAAACCACAAACAACAAGCAACAAGCAACAAGCAACAATCAACAAGCAACATCACGAGCAACAACAGCAACAACAGCCACCGCAGCAACAACAACATCAACATCAGCACCAACACCAACACCAACACCAACCACGACGACGACGACGACGACGACGACGACGACGACGACGACGACGACGACCGCAACATCAACAACAACAGCAACAACGGTGACAAGGCATTTCAGCCTTTTGCCGGCATGGGAGGCGGAGCGACTTCAATGAGTGCTTCGTTTCGAAACGCAGACCTGTCAACAACTGCCTGCTCAGCACCCCAAGAATGTGTAAAAAGTTATCTAAACCCGAGAGTCATGCTATGACAGGCCTTAAAAAACAGTAGCGGCGAGGGCGCGCGGTCACGCGCGCGCGCTATGCGCAGTGTACGCGCGGCGTGCGCGCGGCGTGCGCGCGGTGAGCGCGCAATGAGCGAGCAGCGCGCGAGCGGTGCGCGGCGGCACGCGCGGAATGCGCGCGGCGAGCGTGCAACGAGCCAGCGACGCGCGAGCAGTGAGCGGCGGCGCGCGCGAATCCAAGAGTCTCAAGCTGGTTCAGGGCGTCTGCTTGGTTTTGAAGAGTTGGTCGGAGCCGGCGCTATACGCAAACAGTAACAAGACCGACGCAAGATGAGGGCATCGCTCGAGCTCAAAGACAGAAGAAGTCGACCACTGGTGATCGAAGAAAAATAGCCCAGGATCCACACTTAAGGTGTTGGTTCAAGGTTGCTCCTAGCAAAACTCATCCAAAGATGGAGTGACATGTGTTTCAAGTTGCAGGTTCCAACCAGCATTACCAGTTGCAAGCGCAAGTCGAATGAGTCAAGCAAGTCACAAGTTGGGGCTGCTCCACCCATGAGTGTCATCATCTCATCAGAGTATATTTGCATTTTGGCAATTTGTGGCCGTAGCAGGTTATTTCTATATCAGCCATGAGTCAGGAAGAAAAGACATGAATCAGGAATCGTCGCGTGATGGATCAATCATGAGCCTGACTCACCCTCAGCGCCAATAGCAGTTTTGGCCCAGTTTGTCTTTGGGCATCAGATCAGGATCGGATTAATATGAGTTTGACACGCGCCCGCAAGTCTCTGCGCTGGCCAAATATGGTCAAATAGGAAGCTTGCGCACTGTGCGTTCAGGCCCCAGTCAGTTAAGCAGCTTAAGCAGCGTGTGTCTATGAAGTTGGCCACGATTGTTCAGGGCACAAGCCCGCCGATTCCTGAGGATGATGTCAGTCTCAATGTCAGTCACTGCCACTCTTTTACCGCCCTTCTGCAACAAGCCCTGGTGTTCGGGGGGCCCTTTCCTTTGGTGGCTTGCCATAAGCACCGCGGTGCCTCCTATGGTGCACCGGGTGTACGCGTGCGAGATCTGAGAGGCTGAGAGAAGCACCTGTGAACATGTGGGAACGCAATAGTTGACTGGTGCCACCTTCATTTCAACTTTAACTGGAAACTTCACTTTTGACTCTTGACGGTTGACAGAGTGAACTTTAAACAAACTAACTTTGCGAGATCGCCGCAAGCAAAGTCATGATGTAATGTATAGCTACTTGACCTGCGTCGCACCGATTGGTCCATGACCAGTGTCAGTGTCACTCGTGACATGACTCGTGACATGACTCGTGACTCATGCCTCACATCAAACAAACTCGAGCGTTTGGTGCGCCAGCAATCTTGTTTCCTTTTGGGCGTCGCAGGTAGCCCAGCACTACGTTGGAAGGGGCCACCGCATGGTTCCGGTCGGCCAGTCCCATTGCGCTCAACATCATGAGTCGAATCACGATGACTAACAATATAGGGCCGTAGGGCGCGGCGAAGGTTTTCCCCTAGCTGTAGATTGCGGACGCGGACTCGGACTCAGGCAACCCAGGAACACTACCCGACTGCGTGCGAATCGGATCTGCGAATCAGTGAATTAGTGCACCGGTAATTCGACGATCCTGAGATGGGCCATGAGTGCTTGGTTTTTGAAGCTTGCCGCCTTTCCGCTTGCAGTAGCTCATGCGCTAGATGTTGCCCCGTGTGAGCCGGTGCGCAACAAACAGCTGTCTATAATTGGGTGGAAACCACCTGCCAATTGACGACACAAGTAGTAGCTTGCGAGATGCGAAATTTTGACTGGCCCTTGTACAGCACGGCAGCATCGTTCAAATCACATGATTCTGCAGGTATGAGTCATCAGATGACACGCCAGCCATCACTAGCTGAAGTTGAACTGACAGCGACACTAGATAGCTGAGGCAAAAATCCCAAGGCCTAAGATGAGTAAATCACGGCAACATATTTGGCTTAAACCAACCACCACTGGGTGCAGTGTTCAGTCCTCCGGACAAACAAATCATTGCGCAGATGCAAAGTGTCAGTGTGGTTTGTTGTTTCAAAATGCTTGCCTGGCGGAAACCTGGTTGGCAGTTGACACCACATTGTTGCATTACGCAAGCAATGCGCATTGCCGAGCGCAAGGTAGACAGCGGATGTGATGAAACATTGCATGTGACTCAAGCTCCGTGGCCCAGCGTCTGCCTGCCACATCAGACGCTGCTTTTTTTGCGGGGCCAGCAGTTTCTTCACCAAGTCAATAGTATTTCTCATATGTAGCTTGGGCGAAATCCTGCGCCACCAATGATGAATAGTTGAAATGATGAAACATTGATGGGACGCAACACGCACAAACTGGCCCCAAACATGTAAACCATAATGTTTGATTGGTTTATTTGATGCTTGACTGGCATTCGCACGATGGGTTCTGATATTGTTTCCATCCTTCCGCAGATACGACTAGAAATTGGCGACATGCGTGCGACTATTGCGCTGCCTCGGGTGAGCTAGTCTGAAACTTGCCAAATTAATATGTGAAGCGTGAGCAGCATGTTGATTTGGCAAAATCGTGTACCTGATTCATGACGGGTGGTACAATGTAGTACAAGTGCAAGTATTCGGGCCAAGTGGTGCTGGAGGTTGCGTTTAGTTCTCAGCGTCGGTGACAGACTGGCGCTCACGCATCAACAGCTACCGCACGCTTTGAGGCTGCCGACGCAGCACTTGTATTTCTGGCGACACGGTGTGTTGAAGAAAGAAACGCAAAGTGGAATGCCATCAGCTGGTCTGGCCATAACGCCGTACAAAACCAAAAATGTATACGTGCCAATGGACACACATCGTCTGCAACCCCCCCCCCCCTCAGCGAACAAGTGTGTCACGCGCGCGCGCGCAGCGTGCGGGTGTGTGCGTGTGTGTGCGCATTGCGCGCGCGCGCCTGCGAACTATACGCGCGGGCGCGCACGCGCCGTACGCGCGCACTGCACGCGCGGACTGTACCTGCTCACGTACGCGCGCGCTGTACGCGAACCGTACGCGCGGACTGTACGCAAAAAGTGTGCGCCAAAATCTGCCGGTTTTTTTCAAAATCTGCTGCCTTTTGTTGAAAATCTGTTGCGGTTTTTCAAAATCTGCTGTGATTTTTTACACGTGCGGTCGAAACGTGCGGCGGCCGTACGGTACGGGGCGCGCGCGCGCGCGTACGGTGTGTACGCGGGCGCGCGCGCGCGAACTGTACGCGCGGAGCGCGCGCGCTGTACGTACGCACCGCGCGCGCGGACTGTACGTACCGTACGCGAACCGTACGCCCGGACTGTACGCAAAAAGTGTGCGCTAAAATCTGCTGTGTTTTATTCAAAATCTGCTGTGTTTTTTTCAAAATCTGTTGTGTTTTTTTCAAAATCTGCTGTGTTTTTTTGTACGTACGGTCCGCGCGTACGGTGGCCGTACGGCACGCGCGCGCGCGCGCGCGCCGTGTACGTACGTGCGACGCGCGCGCGCTGTACGTACCGTATGCGCGAACCGTACTCGCGGACTGTACGGAAAAAGTGTGTGCCAAATTTCATTCTGTTGTTTTCAAAATCTGATGTGTTTTTTCAAAATCTGTTGCGTTTTTTCAATTCTGCGGTGTTCTTTTCGCACGTACGGTCCGCGCATATGGTGGTCGTACGGTATGGCACGCGCGCGTGCGGTGCGCACGTACGTGCGGCGCGCACGCGCGCGCGTGTACGGTGTACAGCGCACGCGCGCGGTGTACGTGTGCGGAGCGCGCAGTGCGCGTGTATGGCGCGCGTGAGACTCATGTCCGTTGCGCAGCCAGCGCGTTCAGCTGCTGATGCTTTTGAACCCAGCTTCAGGTCATTGGGTTTGCTT